GCTTCATAATCGCCCGTTTTTCTTTTCCAAAATTGATCTTGGAGGTTGTCCACAGGTAAGAAAATTTCTTATGGGGTTATTTCATCAAATTCGGGATGTGATATGGTTCCGAAGGATGAACCAGATATGGACAGTTCCAACGAGATTTCAATGAAGTGCAACAAGATTTCAACGAAGTGCAACCAAACAACTTGAAAGGGACTTGTGACACAAGATGAGAGGTAGGAAACAAACCTTGAAAGTTTTGCAATGGTGAGTGAAAGTCAGACTCGAGAAGGCATGCAATTGAGACGTATGTTGTAGACTGAATTTATCCCAGAATCTCGTAGGAACATTACCTTTGGAAAAAAAAGATTAGGCAAGCTCAAGAATGTGAGTTTTATGCCCTCCCACACCATTTTGTTGTGGGGCACGGACACACGAACTTTGTTGGACAACACCATGAGATTGGAAATAGAAACTAACACTCAGATTTGAAGAAGTCATTGACATTATCGATTTTTAGGATTTGAATTTTAGCATTAAATGATTTTGGACCTTGATATAAAAGCGTTGAAATATGTGCTTGGCTTTAGATTTGTCTTTTATAAGAAATGTCCAACACAATCTACTATCGCCATCAACTAATAATAAAAACTATCTAGCATCGGTTATGCTTGGAGTATTGATTGGTCCCCAAATGTCACCGGTCCCCAAATGTCACCAAGGACAAGGGAGACAAGGTGACTTGCTTTGTATGATCTTGGAGTATATATTACGATTTTACGAGTATGCTTGGAACCTCTGGGATTTTTATTGATGGAGAGAGACGGAACAAACGTTTCAAATATGAAAAATTGGGAGTATATATTACGATTTTACGAGTATGCTTCCAACCACTTTGGTGTGACTACTAATGGCAAAACGTACAGGCTGGTACAAGAAAAATAAGTTGACTAGTAATCAGTCAACTGTCATGTGGTCGGATGCACGTAGATCTACAATCCAAGGAGAGAAGGATGATTTTGTTATATGAAGTGCAGTGTTGTTGGARCTTTGAGAAACTGCTCTTTGTTGAATCAAGTGAGGTTACCTAGTTAAGAGGCTTCAGAAAAGGCAGCATTACCTCTTGCTTCGCGGTCTCTATTTGGCTTCCAATCAGTAGGCTTTCATGCAACTAACATGACTCCTTCAAGTAGCCCAACTCTTCGTTAATGATCACATCAWTTGTCATTGGTATTTTGACATTACTTCGAACAACAAACGCACTTACAGGACCTGTGAATGTATTATCTTTGGTTGTTGCGAAAAAGGAACCTCCACCAGTGATCGATGGTGTTGGGATTGTCCCAACATGACTCGTTTTTGTCTCTGTTCTCTTGCAGACCGGATAAAGGCTTGTTTGTGAGGATTTTCCATCTTACTTCATCAAGGGATTTGACATAACCCCCTCAAAAATTTGAAGACCCATTTATTAGTCCATTGTTTTAGAAAACGACCGAGGCATGCACCTTGAGGCACGCCTGGGGGCGAGGTGGCCAAAATCCTTTTTTGARGCGTCGCCTCATGACTTTGATGACTTGTACGCCTTGATGGGTGAGCATACGACAAGGCGGTTGAGGTGCGGGCGAGACATAATATAATATAATATACATATATAATACTATGTATATATTAATAATATTATGTTTTTGAACCGCTACCTGCTACTCTTTACACACGTTGCATACATTTATATATAATGTTTACTTATATTTGTATATTATGCTGCTACATACAACTTCACAAGTGTGTGTATATATATATATATATATATACTGGTTGTGTATTATGCTGCCAATACAAGCGTAACGTTAATAAATATTCTACTTTGTCTATATGTGGTCATATACAAGTGTGTAACTGCGTACATCTATATTATATAGAGCATGGATCATTTACAAACCRTCGTATTAGTACAAACTTTGCAAACCTAATCTCAAACATCTAATCTAGTCCAATGAATATATTGGTTGTTTCCTAATATAAACGTTGATCAAAATAAATGAACTCAGATAATCTTCCATAAATATCCAGATCATAAAAAAATGAACTCTCATCATTTCTATAAGTATCTCCATTAATTGGTTTGTATGGTATGTACTAATGGTTGGCTTTGTAAATGAAACCACCTATATATATATATATATATATATTTTGTTTTTAGTGCATCATGCTGCCATATGCTAGTGCATATATGGAATTATGTTTGTCTTGTCAAGTGTTTTTGCATTTATGAATTTTGTTATTCTAATTTCTTGGGGCTTACGCCTCACGTACCTAAGGAGAAACGCCTTGAGGCTCATTCTCGTTCTTTAAAACCTTGGTTTMGTCCAATGATTTTTGGAAGTGCTCGTAATCTTCTAGGCACTTCCATTCATGCACCTCAAACAAATCTAGTTGCTGCCAATAAGCGAGTGAAAGTCGTGAAACAAATTGTTTCCAGATTTTCTCCTTGATGCAGATCTTGAAGGGTACTCTTCACTTGAAAGAGTCCGGCAGTGTTTTCGTTGCTAGAGAATGTTTCTCGTTCTGCATCCCATGTCTTTTGTTGGGGTGTACAATAAGAAATTCTCTCCTATCTCGATAATCATAGAACTGATCAACCAAGACATGACCGGATTGTTTTCTATAATAATTATCCTTTGGGTATGGTATCAAAACATCTCCAATAAGGTATTCATCTTTGCTTTGCTCACTTATGAACATCATCATTGACCGAGACCATTGAAGGTAGTTGTGGCCATTTAGTTTATGAGTGGTGCTATGGACAAGGATATTTTCTAAGGTAGTTGAGCYAAGACGTGACATTGAAGGACTCTTAGAATGCGAATTAGAAGTAGATGAATCCTTGGATAAGAGATCTGATTCCCAATGAAGAGAGATTTCAAGAGATAGGGAAGAGGACATTAAAGAAGATGATGGCTTACAAAAAAAAGCAGGATTTCTAACGTACAACTTTAATACCATGAAGCATTTTGAGATGTAAGGAAAAAGCTTCTATTTCATTTGGAATACAATGTACATGTTTATATACAAGCAAATCTGYAAGGGCTCCTACAATTATCCCCTAAAGGATAATAYAAATTCTATCTAATAAAGAGAGAATCAACAATTATGTAACTAATCCCTAAGAATCAGCTTCTAGAGATTATATGATATCCCTAGCTTGATTTCCTACACCACATACTTGTCTTAGATACARGATAGACAAATTTCCCTTTTTAGATGACTAAGGGTGCAAGATACACAAACTATTCATATCTATCCTACTATCAATTYGATTTCAATTTGATCAATCAACATGCTTTCTTACACATCCCCTGCATGTGAATGCACATACAACAAACAAAGTTATCCATGGAGCATGAGAGTTTAATCCTATAACATCACATATTACGAAGCATCTCCTATTCTCCCTCATCCCACTGCCTACCTTGAGTAGTTTCAGATTCTGATACCAARCAAACTAGGAAATAACTTACTAAGATAAGAAAAACTAGGGTGTCCTGGCCTATGATGCCAAAGCATACTGATCCTTGGCAGGAACAGAATGAATACTATTGAAAAGTTGAGCTCTTATATTTTTTAGAACCTTGATCATAAACAAATTAAGAGTCATTCGGTTGGTTTAGCACTGCCAATCATCTTCCCCGAGTTCATATCCTGAAAGGTACAATGAGATTAAAAAAAGGTAATCTTGCAATTAGAATCTTTGAATAGTTTGCTAACAGATAGCAGATTATAAGTCGGTTTAGGAACGTGTAAAACGTCCTTGAGAAAAATATTTTTCTACAGATTTATCAGGCCTTTGCCGGCTATAGGAGAATAACATCAGTCTGCTATACGAATTTTTTCATGACCAGAACAGGGAGAATATGAATTATATAGGTTAGATATGTTGGTCATATGGTTAGAAGCTCCTGAATCGAYGATCCAAGGAGTGGAGTGAGTAGAAGRRTGACAGGAGAACGCTTTACAGTTACCTCGACAGAAGCATTAGGAGCACTAGATGAACCTGAGTTGTCCCTTAACAGTTTTAGGAGTTGATAATTTGCTCTTTCTTGAGGAATGTCGAATMTGTCACGTGTGTTGTCAGTGTCTTATGAAACCGTCCTTCATATGATCCCTTCCAATTTTATGGTTTTCCATMGAGTTTCCAACATGTCTCTCGTGTATGACGTGGCTTGTTACGACGGTCACACCACACGAGTTCTCTCACCAGAGAAAGAGGTTTGTTTGTTAGTATCCCGCCCATTTTTAACTCCAGCAAGAAGGGCAGAATTTTCAAAATTGTAACTCAATGGTTTTTTTAAGCATCACAAGACGGTGGCTTTCCTCACGTTGCACTTYAGAAAATACTTCTCCCATTTAGGGAAGAGGCTGTCTACCAATAGTCCTGCCTCTAACTTCATCAAACTACATATTAAGACCAATAAGAAACTTATAAATGYGATTACCCTCCACCATTTTTTTATAATAATTGCAATTGTCAGTAAACTTCCATTCATAATCATTGAAAAGATCTAAATCTTGCCAAAGTCTTTTCAAGGAATTAAAATACTTGGTGACAAGAGTCCTCACCTTGGCAGATTCTTTCTAATTTTAAGGAGGGTTCATATACCTAAGATTAATTTCCCAGATMTGAGTACATCTGATTGACGTTATCCCCAAGCTCTTTGGCTGTATGATAGCACATCTAATTAGAGCTTATGTCCTCTTCCATGGAATTTACTTACCGTGTCACACCACCAGAGTTTTCAGCATCCCACAAAACATGGGTGGAATTGTTAAGAAGCAGGCTCCTTTTTCCTTCTTTTCTCCTGGTAACCCATCTTTCCCCTACCACGAATATRCATGCGCAAAGATCGAGACCAGCACAAGAAGTTCTCTTCGTTCAACTTAATGGTAGTGATTTGAATAGAGTGAGATTCCGAGGTAGGGTTGTGAGTGGTAGCAGAAGAGACATTCTTTTCGGCAGTAATCATCTGCTTATCATGTTCCGTGAATAGCCAGGACATTGAGGAATATCCAGAGCCGAAATRTCACAATTACCGTCCCGTCCTGGGCCATCGCACAGAAAACTCTGGTTCTGGGTTTCCACGCTTGAACAAAAAAGAACCGGAGAGCTTATGGTTGACTCGTTTGACATGGTTTTGGCTGGTGAMGAGAAGAGTATGGCTCAAAGGTAGGCTTGAAATTGGGCAGGTTCAGCTGTAATAATTTAGGGCTGGGGAAGTGAAGCTGAACAGCTGCAAAAATTGAGGTTCTTGCTCTGATACCATCACAAAAATAATGGGCATTTCTTATTTCTTGTATATCGAGAGAGAGAAAGAGTACAACATATATAGGGGTACAAGGGAAATACAAAAGAAGAATATTCTAGGATAGCCTAGAAATTATACAGCCTATTWACAGCAATACAGAAAAAGGAAACTAAATAAATAACAAATCCTCTTCACATCGAGGCTTGCAACATGTTTCTTTCCTTATTTCAGGAATCAAAAGTGGATGCTAATGTAATGTAAACATCATGCATATCCCACATACCTAAAAAAACATCTAGGAAATATAAGCCGCTTGTGTGCTAGAACAATAGGGGTGTCAAATTTGTACTAAACATACAAACCAACATCGTATGAACTATACCAATTAAATCGGTAGCCAATATGTTTGGTCGATAGTATTGTACCAATTCTAGAGTGTTGGCATGGTACTCGTACAGATTTTTTAATATAATGGTGCTACCGTACGAGCCAAGTTTTTTTACAAACATTACGAACATGTTTTACCAACACATCATGAACTTGTTACGAAACAAATACCATTTTTACGAGCATTACGAACACAGTACAAACTTGTTACGACGACGTATAGCATGTTTATGTTCTTAGTATTGTACCAATACCAAATTGTAACAATCAAAATGGTAGCCATTAAGTTGGCAATATAGGCTTCGATGGTTGGTATTAGTAGTTGATTTTGTCTACCAATTAAAATTGGTATGGTATTGTAGAGAGAAAAAAATGTGGTCATGTACAATGACATCACTAGTACAAAACATATATGAAGGTGAACAAATGATATTTACAAAGTGTAGCGAAATTAAACTTGGCATTGACAAACATCATCTGAAACATAGATAAACATATCATTTATACTTCTCTTTTGAACGAGGCTTAATAAATCTGACTAGGATACCAGACAAATTCATGTTCAAAATTATATATAACAATCTTACCTCAGGAGGTGGACCGTATGGGTTCTCATTTGCATCTAATTTTACAATCTCCTCTGGCTTCCTACCAAGACGAGTTGACAGAACCTGTATAAAAATTTATTAACCTTCTAAAATTCTTGTGAAAAGACCACAATAACTAGCACAAACATGCATACAACTACTTTGATTTCAACAATCATCAGCCATAGCACCATGATGGAATACTAATTGGCAAAGAAATAGCACATTGTTGCTCATTTATTCATCAGTTTAGATAGATACATAAATAAACCTACCTTCAGCACAACTGAAGTTGACATGTTAAGTATCAAGTCCATCCATTCCATCAGTTTAAYGGGAAWAAGAACCAATGTTAGACACAACCTGAATTTGTTTGACTAAAGACCAAAGTAATAGATGAGCTCATCTATTATATGGCAATGCCTATTTCTTTAAATTTGGCAAAACAACAAAAAATTCGGTAACCCGTAAGAGAAAAGAGCACTGTGATGGTAGTATTCAATCAATTGAATAAGAAAATGATTCATGCATTTGGTAGTTCCGCCTAGTAATTTATGTTCTAACAAAGYGTAATGCAAAAGGTGTTAGATTAATCTCGATTTAAAATAGTATGTATGTATATATATAGGTAGTTATTGGTAGTTATTTCACGAAAGGGTGTGTTGTTTCGTGAAACAACCCCTCTATTCACGAACCATTACGATGGTTCGATGGCACCTTTCCGGTGTCTATAAATATTTAAGTTCTACACACTTTTCATGGTGTGAATTCTCAAATTATCAAATAAAACTTTGGTTGTTTTTAGCATATCGATCCAACATTTGGTATCAGAGCCTTGGGTTCCTTCAACCAAAGTCTTCTCATCATCTACCGGACCTTCAGAGAAATCGAGAGATAGAAGGAGAGAGTCACCGGAACCGCTAAGAGATTAACAATTAATCCTCCATCTCATTCAATCATTTGGGGACAATCAGATCTTCGGGAGGGCGGCCGAAATCCAGAGGATATCTACCACCTTCTGGCACCAAAATCCGACGAAAGGGATTCAAGCCCAAATCGGTACCCATCAAGCATAGTCGATCGCAGGCAGAAAACGCAGCAAGCATCGCCGACAAACACAATCAACAAAAATCGTTGTTCGATCAATTACAGACAGAAAAACGCAGCAAGCGTCGCCGATAAGAACAATCGGTAGGAAACCATTGTTCAATTGATCACATGCAGAAAACGCAGTAAGCGTAGCCATCAAAGAACAATCGATAGGAGATCAATTGTTCAACCAAAATCGGACCAAACCAGATCGAAATCAGTGTTCAAAATCGCCGATGGATAAAAGCAAAGAAGAAGGGTGCGATTCTTGAAAAGTCAGAAAACCACCATCGAACCAGAAAGAGGAATCGACACCACTTTTCAATTTGTAATCGTACGCCTCTTTCCCTATATCTTCAAATTTCCCTTTATAAAATAAAACCCACTTTGTTATTTTATAAAGAAACCCTTATATTTTTAGTAAATATCACCATTAGCCAAATTAATATAAGTTTATTTTATTTTGGTCTAACTAGTTGATTACAAAAATATTTTTTTAATACTTGAAATAAAATTCAATAGAATTATTTCAAAATTATGACCGGGACAGAAACTAAGGAACAGGGAGAAAATACTAAAATTTGCAAGGAAATAAGTCCT